TGACTCTTATCAAAGACAATATGAATCATAACAAGAAGAGATGGGAACAATAATACAGCCATGTGGCATAGATATCTCAACAATAAAACAGAGCGCAACAGTTAGCAATAACAACTAGTGCATTTCCTACTAAGAGAAATGACATGTGCTTTCTTCTATGTGCCGTGATCATGACTCTCCACAACTTCCTAGCTCTTAGCAGTTTCTCTCCCTTTGGTAATGCCCCCACATTGGATATCTTAAAAAAAATAGTCTCTCTCTTCCGTAAATACACTGATGAAAAGACCCACCTGGAAGAAAGCAAATCCATCACAAATATTTCCTTTCTTCCCCACATGATGTTGATTTTTTTTTTAAAAAAAAGAGTTAGAAGGTCGAAAAAAAAAAACTGCAAAAATGTGTCATAAAAAGGGTTAATCATAATGATGAAGATGATTCAAAAAGAAAAGAAAAATGTCATGAAAACGCTATGTTTATACAATATGTAAGAAGAATTATTATCAGTAGTACGAACCAAATTCTTGGAGAAGTTTTCCTAATCCCATCACTAATTTTTGTCAGATCTGTCCACTTGAGAAAAAGTAACAGCAACAGATATTGTTGACCTGAACACAGTACTTTTCAAATTTTTTTTTTTTTTTAATCCCTGACTGCTTCTGCCTGTCAATGACACAGTCAATTTTCTACTGTCTCTTTCACTTTTCTCTCTCTCACCCACACACTTAATGCATAGTAGTAGCGGTAACAACAGATGGGAGCCTGGAGGTTGATAGTGGCAGTGGTAGTAACACCCTTTACTAAATCGATATGTTACGATGACTACTGAGGCACCCACGGAGTGGCATTAATGAGACCATCAGCCCAAGAAAAATCCTCTGCACATGTAGATAACGGATGTAAAAATTCCTTGGTTTATATAATGGAGTTATCAAGACCGTATCACGCAAAGGAATGTAGAAATCATATTGTATTATTCTGAGAAGACTAAAACTTATATATAAACTTAATATAAGTAGTTTTATAATGTAGATAAATCTTTAGCCATATATTAAACAACAAGTTTGTAGTTCTTACAAAATATCAGGAAACATGAAGAGATTATGAAATCTCCTTTTAAAAATGGAATTTATACATACATATATATATATATATATATATATATATATATATATATATATATATATATATATAAAATGGGCAAATGAATGGCAAAATGGAAAAGTGGAAAAATCAAATTACAAAAATTTAAAAATTTAAACATAACTCAGTGTGTCCACATTTTCAGCATTTCGCCTTCGTACAAAATTAGTAAGATTTACATCTTCCCTTCTCCCTCCTGCACATGTATAATTCCTTTACTTTAGTCTGAAGAAGGCCTTTGAAAGGATGAAACATCAGACAAAATTTTTCTATTAACATTGTTCTGATATACAGAAATTTATATACCATATTCACTCATACATACATACATATATATATATATATATATATATATATATATATATTATTTATTTCTCCAGGTAAAATGTTTGTAATTGTGTAGCAATTTTTAACATGGCCTTGTTTTAATATCTTAAAATAAATTATTTACATACATATATATATATATATATATATATATATATATATATATATATATATATATATATATAAAAAATGTCATTTTTAGTGGATACTTGTATTTGAGTAGATGCTCCATTTTCTGCTCTATTTATGAAACAGAATATTTACTTATTTTCATCTAGAAGCCTAAATATTTGGGAAGTCTTATTAAAGAAAAATATGTGCTCTCTGGCAGGATTTGAACCTGCATTCCTGTAAGAGGAACTGTCATTAGATCTGACATGCTTTGACCCTCTCAGCTACAGAGTGTGTTGATCATCAAGCTAAGCTGAATAGAGACTTTAAACACAGATTTTTCTCTGACTCTTGAAAAAGATATATCTGCTCTGATCCTAATTTAAATGTTTATATTAGGATATGAAACTGTCCTAAAATGATCATTATTTAGCAAGATATCTACCTTGCTGACTAATGATCATTTGAGGCAAAAAGAGCTAAGATTTTCAGGAAACTCTTCAGTAATAGGTTAATTTCATTATTATTATTGAATCTATGATAAAACCCTTTTAGAAAAAGAAAGTCCCTCTGCCAAGTGAGCAAGTAAATTAATCTTTAGATGATTTTTTGAAATTCAGAGAGTAGTCCTAAAACTTTAGCCTATGTATATATATATATATATATATATATATGGTTATAATATATACATAATTATATTACACCCGAGGTATATAATGCCAGTCATATAGGCCTGATAATGAAGTGCTTTCAATAGCATCCTTCATCAATAGAAACAATGATCATGCTCATTATTATTGTATCAGAAGTAAAGTTCACAACACTTATCAGAAGTCAACTCAGAGTTTCATAATTCCCTACTCATCAGAACACAGACAAGAATTATAGATAGATAGATAGATAGATAGATAACTTCTTAGTATGATAAACATTACATTTGGGGTTAAAATTTGATATATGTATGGGAGAAAGTGTGCTCAGTATTGGAGATGGTGTTAATAGATGTAAACAATGTTGACATATAAATCAATCCTGCATGGTCATTTTCTTACCTTAAGCCATCATCAGACATTGTGTTACTACTCTTTGTATTGGCTATATATAGTCTACTGAATGTAGGAGAAGGAGGAACCAATTTTTTCCAGTTTTTTGCTTAGGGCTAAAGTTTTAAATTGTTTATAATCCTGTTTGTTGGTTTTAATTACTTACTTTTCGTTTTCTTATTTATATTATTTATTCGTATATTTTCTTCAGTTCCAAAGTTTGGTATTTTAAATGAAGTTTATTAGTTTTATGTTATGGATGATCAATTGTTGAGTCATTTTTATTTTGTGATGTGGTTGTAGGTAGAAAATTGGAATTTGTTTTTGTCTACATTTGGAAATTATTGATTTAGATGTTTATATTGTTCTGGAAAAATTATTAAGTTCAAAAGTACTTTGAAGTATTGCTGAAAGCTGGTGCAAACAGTCACTATACAATGTTGATTTTTATGTCCACATTGTGTACAGATATAGTTGTTCACTTTAACATTTTGATCCTTGGAAAAATTATTTCATATCCTTGTCAGAGTTTTCATATGTGTTTGTTGTCTGGTGGTAAAACAACTGTAGGTATTTGTATTCAATAATAATTAATGTTTATTTAATATTTTTATGATAAATAATGTTGAATATTATTCCAGTTAAGACAAAATTGGTTTAAAAAAACCAAATGGCAACCCTTATATAACAACATTGTTAGATATCCTGGTTTTATCACAGTTTATTCGTAATTATCATATTAAGCTTTGTCAAGCAAAAAATATAAAAGCCTATTGAATAATTCAAAAATGATGGTATCATTATTTGGAAGTACATATGCTTGTGTACAACTTCTTTCAGAAAAAAGAAATATATTAAAATTGTTTAAGACAAAAATTGAGTGAAATTGAGTGATAAACACCTGGATGATGTTTTGATCCTGTCATTGACAAATATTTCACTTGATGTGGAGAAGTTATGAAACAATGAACAGAAACAAGAAGTGTCTCTATAAATAATTTGCCATTTCTAGTTGTATTTCATTTGTAGTAAGAAATTTGCATTTCTTTGTTGATAATCTTAGTTGTTATTCTGTTATTCCTGCAGTAAAATAAAGAACCTTGTTTAAATAATATAACATTAACTTCATTGTTTTTTTTTTCTTTAAACCTCCAAGGCAGCCTTCTGGATGGAGCAGTCTGAGATCAAGAAAATTCATTATAGTACATTTGATATCATGGCCCTACTCCAAGATACAGTATAGCTGTCTGACCCACTCTCTCTGCAAGATTACTGACCCCTGTCCTAAATTCTAGTTTAGCAACAAAGCAGAGAAGAATACATACTACCCTTGATCCTAGAGAGAGTGTACAGATACTACATTGATATAAGGCAGCATAATTTAATTTAAAGGTTAAAGAATGGATTAACAAGAAATGTGATAAAAAGCAACAAAAAGACAAAGCTAGTAAAAAAATCCAAGTGTGAGATAATGAAAATCTTTCATGTCAGCATCATAAATAGCCTAACACATTAATAGTTAGATAGTTAACGACATGAAGAGAGGACACAACAAGATAGTTAACGACATGAAGAGAGTATCTATGGAAGTAGAGATTTACAAAACTCTTATACCAATGCCTATAAACTAGCATAAGTGTCGTCATTTGAATTAGCAAATTCTCATAATACAATACTCACATGAATTTCAATGTTAAAAAATATATAAGCCAAAAATAAGAAAAAGTAAAATAAAATTATAAAAATTAAAGTTAAAATAGAATAATAAAAATACTCAAGAGGCTATTCAAAGAATAAGTCTGATTGAATGTTGCTTTATGAATCTTACTCCCAAAAAAAAAAAAGGTAAAACCCCTTTACACTGCATTTATTCAACCAGTACTTGAGTACAGGGCTATTATCTTGAACTCAAACTACAAAGAAGATATTAAATTATTGTAATCTGGCCAGGACAGGTGCCTCAGCCTAGCTACAGGTAAAATTGAGCTATCATTCCCTCAGTCAAGATGCCAGTTCACCAATCTGTGTGAGATATATGAAATACTGAATGACTATTATAAAAGGAAAGTGAACAATTTCTTTACATTTTCAAACAGGAGGATGCATGGTCACTCACACAAATTAATGAAACAGCACTCAAAAACGGTTGCAAGATCCAACTTCTTTGCCCTGATGATGACAGAGATGGAACTCTTTACCTAATGAGGTTGTGAATGCACCAACTCTGGGTTTTTTTTTCCAGAAGAAACTGAAGATCCTTCTTGAATGAGCTGAAGGACTATTGACTAATTCTATAATTCTAATACTCCAAATCTTATACAAATTCAAATCTTAAAAAGCTATGACTAAAAATAGCAAAAACAGAGAAATACTACTCACAGGTTTGGAATTTATCTCAGCCCACTTTTATATATTCAATCAGCATTCGTATTATGCTACATACGGCTTGGTGAATAAGACTAAAGCAGTGATTTCTACTTGCCACTCTTTTGAACTGTCTTGGTGACATTCAGTTATTGTAATGACACCTGAGTCAGTTCAATTTGTCTTTCAAAGCATCGTAAGACAGCAGGAGGTATTTTTGCAAGGGCTGAACGCTTCACTAAATTCGACACATTAACAAATATTCAGCATTTCCTTCTATCAGTGAGAATGCAGTTATTTTTTATGTATTACATTTCCAATAAGGGGATTTCAATGTGGAAAATTTAATACATTTTTAACTATATTTTCATTTATAATACAGTTTCATCTTTTAGTGTATAGAAATTATGAATATAAATATAAATACCTACATTTTATATATTTTATTTGCATACCTCCTTTTTATACATAGAAATTTTAAATATATTGTCTAATTTCATATAAATTACAATTTAGTGTATTGGTTACTTCAAAATTAAATATTTAAGGTTTCTTACAAGAATATATTACAATACATGAAATAATGGTGGTGAAAAAGTTACATGCACAAAATAACAGACCAATTGATTTTCAATGCAATATAACATTTATTAAAAAAAAATCAGCAAATGGAAAGTTTAAGACAAGACTTTCATTTCCTAGAAATAAATTGCATACACAATAAAATATTCATTAATATATTTGAGTAGAACTTACTGTGTTGGTGTGTTGTGGGTGAAGCGTTCACAGCCCTTTTAGCTTCAGTGTAAAAAGTTCATGTCATATAGTTCAAAAGAGGAAAACCCAAAAGAGAGAGCTACTTAAGGCTTTGCTTGTTTTTATACCCCAGAGCTGCTGCTGATACAAGGTTTATTAAGGGCTGCTACTGCTACTATGTTTATTAAGGCACTACAACAACTGCCTTTGTTGATATACAGAAAGCATAAAGATATATTCTCATTTCAAATACATAGGAAGCAGAAAATGAAGCTTACTAAGATACAACCTTCTTACCAAATGAATACATAGGGAAAAATGTTGATTCAATACTTTGGACATAAGAAGGTGGGTCTTGGCTGTAAAGGTCTGAGATGGTGGCACTAAAGAATGGGGCTTGTCTGAACATTTTTCATTGAAGTAACAATAAAATAGCAGTAAGCTTATGACATCGCATCTGTGGAGCAGAATGAGACAACTGGGTGCAGCTGTTTGCGCTCCAGTTAATTTGGTGCCATACTTTTGTATGCACCAATATTTTTGCACACAATACCAAAATTTCAACTTGCTGTCAGCTTTCTTTGTTTTGTCAAAGATGTAGAGGAATCCATTATCAGCAAATTTTTCTTTACCATGTTTTGTTAATACTTCTGTCACTGTATTGATAAAACGATGTCATTTAGTTAAAGAAATATAAAAAGATGTCAAAAGAATGAAACACTTGTGCAAATCTGGCAGCGAGTTGAAATTTGATGTTGTAAAACAAAAAATTTGGTGCAAATCATGGTGCTCCATACTAAAATGTCTTGTGCCAAACAGCCATGCCAAAACACCAGCACCCAAGTGACTGCACCGAAATGTACCAAATTGGTATGGGAAAGGAGTGTAAGGTGGAAAATAAGTCATGTCCCACAAGGCTGTGTAAATGATTTTGTACTGTGTCAAGGCTGCATCATAAAAAGTCAATTAAAATTTAAAAAGTAAATGTTAGAGTTAAAAGTTATATGCAACACAAAATAAATTTAGCCCTATAAATCTCAAAAGAGCAAACATAAGAATCAAAACTGCATAGTGACTGTCAGTTTCATGCCTCAAAGCAATATTCAAGCCATGTGACTCCCATTAGCCAGCTCTATATATAGGGAGTTAAGAGAAGTGAGGGAATTAGGAAACCAGCCCTTCCCATCTTCTTTTATTTAGGGTTAATGCTTAAGGTCATTTGTAGTTATGACCTTGAGATTGTTTATTTACTTATCTATTTATTATTTTATATCATTTATTTGCTTTGTATATTTTTCTATTGTGGATTGTTCTTCAGCTCTAAGTTTTAAATATAGTTTATTAAATTGGAATTATGGGATATTATTTACTCTTTCCAATCATGATATATTTGTCGGTAGTGTAGTAGGAATTTGATTTTATATATATATATTATTTATCTCTTTATTTAATACATATTCATTGATATATATCATTAATCTATTTGCTTTGTATATTTTTCTATTGTGTATTTTTGTACAATTCTAAATTAGTAAAAGGATGAGCCCAAAATGCGATTTGCAGGTCAGGAACACTAGAATCAAGCAGACACGAAAGTTTAAATATCTGGGAAGCGTTTTGATAGAGGACAGTAAGTGCAACACTGAGATCTGTAGATATATTGGGATGGTCAAGGGCACATTCCAAAAGCTGGGCAGTGTATTACGAGACAGGAGGATTTCTTTGGTTACAAAGAAAAGAATACTGAGCTGTTATGTGATATCTGTCCTTCTTCATGGCAGTGAATGTTGGACGATTTCTTCAAAGATGAAGAGACTCAAGGTGACAGAGATTTGGTTCTACCAAAGGATGCTAAGGATATCATGGACCAAGTGTGTGAGCAACGATGAGGTCTTAGAGAGGATGCAAAGAAGGAGAAGGCTTATACTTAACATCAGGAAGAGGCAGCTGAAGTTTCTGGGACAAATAATGAGGAAGGAGGACCTGGAGAATCTGATACACACAGGTTGGATAGAGGGAAAGAAAGACAAGGGAAAACAATGTGTGACATACCTGGTAGGCTTAAGCAAGTGAATGACAGAAAGTGGTCTGGGGGAGGTAGCAGAGAGAAGGAATTTGTTGAGAGCTGCAGGAGATAGAGGGAGGTGGAGAGCCATGATTACCTATGCCTGGAAAAGACATAGCACATAAAAAGAAAATAAATTTATTTATTCCTTTTGGTCATGATATAGTTGTTTGTAGGAATTTCCTATATATCCAAATAAGTTTGATTAAATACAACCAACAAGGTTTGCTTGTTTAATTTTTTATTGTATTTTTCTAATTTTTGTGTATGTTGTATACTGGGATTGGAATTGTCAGAAGTTCATGTTTGTTTTGTTGCTTTGTTCAAGTACTTCTGACCACCTCAGACATTTTCAAGAAAATAATGTTGTATCTGTGTGGTAGACAAAATTCTGTTGGTATTATCTACTAATATTTATTTTATGTTGATAGTTGTATTTTGGTCATTCATGATATATACAGAAATTGTACAGAGTTTTTACAGGTGACATGTCAACCTACAAAAGAGTGTAGTACATGTGTGCCTCATGTAAGAATTTAATGTTGTATTTTTATTGTTGATATTGGAGATGCAATCTCCCAGGGGGCATGAGAATTCATAAACAATATTTTGAGGTACCATACCACACAAGCAGGAAAGCTAAATTATGACTGTCAGACAATTTCTGCGACCTCATCATCCCTTACATCTGGACACCTAACTCCCCAGACTGCAACCCCCCTTGATTATTATATGTGGGCACAGTTGAACGAGAGACCAACAAAACTCCTTCTAACACCAAAGTTGAACTGAAAGCAAGGATTATGACAGCATTCACCAACTTAAACAAGAAGACCATCCAGAAGAGTTGCAGGAGATTCTGAAGTTGTCAGGAGGCCGTGGTTGAAGCTAATGGCAATTTTATTGAATGAATTTGCTCTTTAGTATTTCAAGATATTTTTGTGTAATTTTGGTAAATATATCTGTTGAAATGAGATGTCAGTGTTATTTTTAGTTTTGCGTAATTTAGACGACAATTTATCCATCGCACAGTTTATATGAGAAAGTGAGAGAGAGAGAGAGCGAGATACAAATCACATTGTAAAGTATGGTTGGTATTTTATCTTTTGTAACAAAGTAGAATTAGAAACATAGGCTAAACATCAAATTCAAATGATTCATTTTTATTTAATAAAAAATGATACCTAAGACTGGAATATCTATGCAGTCTTTAAAACTCTTACTAGCAAAAAATAATACAAATTATGTTTTATAGATGTTAATTTTTGTCTTTTATTTTATTAACTGTATATTATAATTTTATAATCTAATTCCAATAGATAATGCTTCTTCATTATACATTGATTTATTCAGACCCTGATCCTTCCCATTATAATGTTTCTGTTTGTTATACTCTCTGGCCACCTTAAAGTGACTGTCATATTGGATAACATTTGAGGAATTCTGAATTAAACTCTTTATTCAATTCATGGGCTCAGATTATTCTTATTCTACTATCCATCCTACAGGAAATCTCATTATCAGTTAATTCATTCTTGTATGTCCCTTGTCCCTTCTACTAAACCAGAGTATATGACTTTTTGTACCACACATCCTAAGGATTGAACTTACAACCACCAGATAATTAGATCCAATTAAACAACACTTTTATTCTCTAGAGGATGTGAAGATGGCCAGTCTAGATGAGAGGGTACTGAAATAGTCAGTCTAGATGAGAGGATATTGAAATGACCAGTCTAGAGGGAAGAATGTTAAAATGGCCAATCTAGATGAAAGAATGTTAAAACAGTCAGTTTAGAGAAGAGGATATTAAATGCCTTTGTAAGACAATTCAACTGTTGGAACTTTATATTGATAATACTCAATGATATTTGTCCAAGTAAGTCAGTGGATAATTCCTCACTACAGATAATTTCTAATATCATAAATTTAGACAAAAATATGCTTTATAATAAAAAAAATGTGTTTGAAGTTTGTTTTGGATTAGTTATATAATAATTATAATTATTTCATGATTAAAAATTATTTAAACTTATTTAAAATCATCAGAATGCATTAATTTTATCAGCAGTCCTAATGTATTGCTTGAAATTTTTCTTTGTTGGAAATAAAAAAGAAACCTGATGACATGTGGATAATTAAATGGGAAGAAATCTAAATACAAAATTTATAAAAGCATAATTATTACAAGTCTGGAACAAACTTAATTGGAAAAATGGAGTTTAGGAAATATCTGGATTTAGCTATTTAATTGGCAAAACATAAAGAATATAAACATTCAAGATTTGCAATTAGATAAAAATCAAATTAGAAATTTTTGTCCT